GGATTACTAGGTGTCAAATGAAAAAATTTATCACAAGCTTACATTACAATTAACCTAACAAGTCTTCCCATAGTAACACAAATGATGTCGATGGCCATACATAACTCTCAGTACAAAAGTTTTAGAATTGCAAAACTTCAACTATATTGATCAGTTAACTCAAAATTATTAAGTAATGACAAATACCTCATAGATACTTTGTTGTTAAAGTGATTAACAATAATGAATCTTCCAATGAGTCTTAATATATATGTCATAACAAACTTAATAATCTGAATCACACTCTGATTATGTATTACAAAATCTATCTGTAATTTACAAACAAATTTAAAATTCTGTTTGTATTGATTTATCAACAACAAAAAATTATAGACAAGTCTATTCTGTTTATAAATATAAAATTCTTTAATAACCTTTCAAAAATCAATATGTAAATTGCATATTTTTAGTAATGTTTTGCTTTATTCCCTAGTTTAAACACCTCACGACTACAGTTTATTGATAAAATTTTTAACGTCTCAATTTTTGTTATTGTTAGAAGTCATTTATATAAAACACCAGCACATTATCTTCAAATCACTAAAATTTAAAAATGGAGCAAAGTTAAAGGAAAATTTTGATTTAAAGAGATAATTTAGAGGGATAACTTAAATTAAAAAAATTATAAATGAAATCAAAATCTCGATTAAACATAGAAAATGATAAGTATAATTTAGTCTGTTTTTATATATAATTTAAAATAAAACTACTTAGTAATACGTGCAATTTATTTAACACTACTTTTTGTAGCCTCAACCTTATGCACACCTATATTCACAACAATTCTGAGTCTTTTCAAACGTTGCATGCAAATCCTTGTAGTCTTGACCGTAGGCTGAGTGATTTTGGAACTATGGGACAAACTCCTTCACATAGGAACAAATGCATTGATCCAAGCCCAAGGTCACACAACTTTGCACCGCATTCTTGACATTTCAGTTCACATCCAATCTTGCATACAAAATATGAATTTGGTTGCATCCAATCTTGTCCAATTGCACAAATGTACCTCCCTTAGTGGCCTTGGATTTCGAGAATGGAAGTTTCACCCTAGAATGGACATACATGGCCTGCACATTCTCGTTTTTAATATTCAAACATGCAAATTCAAAACTTTCTATCCCTTAGGCAGGTAATTAGCCGTGCAAGGAAAGGTCTTAATGGCCTTGGATATTGCAATTGTCAATCAAATTCCAATATTGTTGTGCCATGTCATTTCAAGTTTAGGAAAGTGTAAGTTGCCGTATGATCAATGCACTTTCGGTTTTGGCCAATTAGATTTCACGCAAAGCATCACCTAACTCCACTTTGCTTGCCACCTTATTCACGACCCCAAGAAGAACATCCAAGGAAATCAAGGACTTGTTCCATTCTTATACTTCGTGAACTTGCATAAAGAGACCGAGAACCTACTCCCTTCTTCCATAGCCATCCAAGACCTTTCCTAGCTCAAGACGACCAAGATTCACTCTTGCATGCCAAGTTCCATCACTCTTTGAAGTTCTCCTTTTCTTAATCCAAAGAAGTTGAGACCCTTAGAGGTAAGACTACGGAAAAATCCTTGTTTCCTTTCATGTTACTTTAAACTTTTGTCTCACCTCCAATTTTCCATTTTCCCTTCCATTCTCTTCCAATTCTTACCGAAGAAGACCAACTCCCAAGCATCACCGTCGAGAACCTTTGAAGGGAAACACGTTAACAATTGAAATTTTCTTTCTCTCATTCACACCAAACAAGAAAGGTAAGGAGAGTTCAGATGTTTACTTAGGGAGTCCTTAGAACAGCAAAATAAAATAAAATAAATAAATAAATAAAAATAGGGATTTTGGTAGATACTGGAATGCATGTTGACTTTGTGTGAATCATGCTCACAAAAATGCTTTGTTCTCCCGTTGTTTGACCTTCACCTTCCACGCTCTCGGTTCAGCCTCGAAAGCTGTTTAAAAGAATATTGTAATATTTGTATTATTATTATAAACAATGTCCTTTGAGAGAGAAGTATTTGAGATATGAAAGGATATATATATATAAATAAGTCTAAAAACTTTTACACTAATTTTGAGCCTTTTATTTAACTTAAATTTAATTACCAATGAAATAATAAATTATAATTCGTTATATTTAAGTTAGATGAAATGTTCAAATTGAGTGTAAAATTTTTTAAATTTACATTAGTATAAAAATATCTTGTCTATATATATATATATAAGAATTTTTTTAAGTTAGTATAAGTCTAAAAACTCTTACACTCGATCAACTTTTTATTTAACTTATATTTATCTAACAAGTTATAATTTATTACTTTACTAATTGTTAGATATAAATTAAATGAAAGAGTAAAATAAAATGTAAGAGTTTTTCGACTACTAGTGTAAAAAAATACTTTTCCTATATATATATATAGAGTTTAGGCTCAAATAAAGTATAAAATTTTTAAACTTATACTAGTATAAAAAATTTCTTTTCTTATATATATATTGATTTGAGTAGTACATGGAATTTTCAAATATTTGACAACATTTTGAGGATAATCATATTTATGGAATTGGTTTCATCTTCCTACTCTAGACATAGGATTACCAAACAAAAACATACACTAAGTTTTCTCATATTTTAGTAGTCACTTACAACTCTTATGGCAAGTGACAAATTAAGAATTATGTCATGTCTTTCGAATCTAGCTACTTCAACATATATCACATAGATAAAGGGAAATATAAAGGAACAAACTATAATAATGAAAAAGAAGAGTCTACTTGCCTACTTGTTCCTGCGATTATGTGAAGCAAGTTTCTATTATTCCTTCTTGGACTGATGCATCTAACAACTGATAGTGTGAGCTGATGCTTCAAACTCCTATTTTTCAATAGTGAATACCCAAATTTATCTCTGAAAAATATTAAAAAAAAAACTTTGATTCTTGAACAAGTGAGTAATTATTTAGTCTTTTAAAATTATAAACATAAAATACTCAAATTCTTACATTTAATAGATGAAAAATCTAAAATCTTTTACGTTTATAATCTTTTACCTATTTTTTAAATAATAATTGAAATTAGTTGAGTAATTCTTTTATATATTAGTTACGGTCGTTTTATTAGTTTTTTTTTTTTTTTGCATGATTTCCTTTACTAAAGTAAGAGATTAAATCAACTCATTCTTCAAATATTATTTTGTCTTAAACATATACAATCTCTATATTTTGACAATAATTAGTCAAAATTTATCTTAAACATTTTGTAACACTTCATGACCTAAAGATTAAATTTCTCAAGATAATCTAATTTAAAAACACAGTTTTTCACTTGCAACGAAATTCAGTGGAGTTTAAAAAAACAAATTGAAAAGGGCTTCACTGACTTACAGAGCCAGTCAGCCAGGGGTATTACTGAGGCAATCCAGTTAATTAACATTTAGAGTTTATATCTTTAGGAAAGCCATTAACACACTTCACACTTCACACTTCAGCGTTTAGCGTTGCTTGTTGTGTCTCTCATCCTTAAGAAACGATAGCACAGCTTATATAACTTTATATAAGGAATGGCGAGGGATAAAATAAAATAAAATAAATACATAACTTAGAGTTTATTTAATAACTTTTTTTTATCATAATTAAAGTTAGAAATAAATTATTATATTAAATTATGACAACAATTTATAAAAATAAATTTTAGAAAAAGCTTATAAAAATTATAATTATTTCTGCATGAATTTCTCCAATGGCTACCTGTTAGCAATTAGCCAATTGTCAAAATGGAGTGTTGTGGATGCGAAATGTTGATTGGTTGTCGCATATCCACCTTATTTTATTTTTATTAGGGCATCGGAAAACTATTTCCAACTGCTTAAATTTATTTTATTAATTTTTATATAATTTTTTTAGATTATGTAGATTTTTAATTAAAGAATAACAAAACTCTACTTTTTAAAACATTTAATACAGCTGCATCTATTAAAACTCAAACTTAAAATTACATGTATAAGTTAAAACAACTTCTTTATTAGTTAATTCATTTGTATGATAAGAATCAAACGTAATAAAATACTTGTATAAGAGTTAAAATATAAATTTTTAAAATATAAAAATTAATTCAAATGAATGTCAATTATAAAATTTAAATATATAGTTTAATTAATTATATATAATAGTTAGTTTTATGTTTAAAATAATTAATTTCAAATAGAATAAAATTATAAAATTTAATTAAAAAATAAGTTAATAGCTAGTTGATAAACTATATGAGAAATTTCAGCGAGCAGTTTTGCATCGTCTTATTTAGCAAGTCAGACTGCTCTGATGAGTGTATCCGTATAAAGTTGAATGCAATTGAAGAACTGTTTACGTATTTATTGATATTTTCACATTTTTTATTGATTGAAAGGTCAAAACCCTTATTTTAACGTACACAATAAAAAAAAAGCCTCCAACTATGTCAACTCAAAAGTTGATTTCGATTCTTACTTGATTCTTCATTGTTAGATCATGCGTAAAATTATTATAAATGTTTGTGAAAACTTGTGTTACATCTTTATCTTATTAGAACGATTAAATTCCTAACTAATGAAGTTGCGGGCACTTAAATATTAAAGTTATCTTTAATTTGTAATTTGTATTTATGTCTTTTTAAATGTAAATTGTATATTTAAATTTTCAAATTCATTCTCTTGTATTCATGTTATATATATACAAGAGAATTAATGTGAAAATCAAACAATAATGATGTTTAGCGCATCATCTTTTTTTCTTTTTATTTAGATTTATTTTAAACATTTTTAGAGCTACATGGTTATGCAATTCATCTTAAAAGACCATGTACGAGTTTTATTGTATCAATTAGGGGACAAAAATTACACTTCATGTGATCAATTCAGAAATATAATTAGAAAAAAATTATAATAAAATAATGTTATATGAGGTACACTGTGCTCTTCTACAATGTTTATTCTCTGTGGCGTTTGTATTAGAAGCAATTGCTGGGTTGAACTAGACCAGAAGTGATTCCTCCAGCGTGATTGCATGAAGCTTGGGTTTGTTTGTTTTCATATGTAAGCATCACATCTTCCAAACTTATTCCAGAGCATGGATACTTTGGACTACAATTCAATTTTACTGCAACTTCTGTAGCTGAGCTTCCATGAATATCTTGGTATGTAACATTGTTAATTTCAACCCCAGAAACCTGCTTGTTAATTACTTTGTCAAAAGAAAAGGCCCATGTAGAAAAATTCGAGAATGGATGCTTTCATGTTCAAATTTCATGTTATAAGCAAGTTTTATCTTTCTCTCTTTTTTATAGACATTCAATAAGTGAGACTTATAAAGTCTCAAACATATTTTTGGTTACTACATTTTGTTATTTATTTATTTTTTCAGTTTAATGCCTACATATTTGTGAAACATTAAAAATATAAAATACTGAATTTAAAAAATTAAGGGTAAAAAAAATATAAGAATTAAAAAAGTTGTAAAAATATAAAAATCGAAAATCATATTTAAGTGTCAGAGAAAGATAAATATAAAAATCTCATATTATTATGTGCAAATGTATATAAGAGAATAGATTCTAAACATTTTATATTGTGCCAAGCCAATGGAAGATGAAATTTTGCATGAGAAACTCACCTGACCAGGACAATCCTTCTCGTTGGGGCAGTAATTTTGGTCAATCACAATGGGATTTTGGACATTAATCATGGTAACATGTTGGAAAAGGATGTCCCTTGCGAACCCATTACTAGGTCTCCCCCAAGACTTAATTCGTACACCATTTTCAGTTCCTGTAAACGTGACTGTTTTAACAGTCACATTTTGCACACCAGGTTCTTGAATTTCCTTCCCTAAACTTCCAACACTACGTACACACATGCAGCATATTGAACCAAAGTCAGTGAAACAAAAACAAATGAAAAATGATAATAATATACACTTCTTAAAACATTTTTTAACACTTTATTTTTTTATAGAGATATAATATATGTGGAACAACCCAAATAATTAATGAGAACCACGTTATTTAGTGGATCTTACATATATTTCATTAAGTAACAAAGATTTTGTTTGAAAGTGTATCCTACCATTTCTCAATAAAATAGTTGTATATATCAATGATAGGTAGCAAACAACAAAACTTATTTATTTATTTGATTCTTTTCTATTTTATATATTAATTTTACACTCATGAATAATGAATAGGTTACCTGATTCCATGACCTGGTCCACAAGCAATGTTTTCTATCCACAAATTAGTTGTTCCAGGACCAATTGAGATGCAATCATCCCCGGTTGCTATGTTGGAGCTAAGGATGGTGACACTTGATGAGAGTTGAATATGAATTCCATCAGTGTTAGGACTGTTTCCAGCAGCTGATACCTTAACACTTTGTACTTTGACATTATGGCAACGGTCTATAACTATGTGGAATATTTGGCTATTGAAAGAGGTCACCCCGTTGATAACAATGTTGTTGGAATTGGTAAATCCCAAGTTCTGTAATTATACACAAGACAAGATTAATTGGCAATAAAATTATGTTAGTCAAAGTTTAATTAAGGGAATTTTTATAACGATGTTCAAATTAGTGAAATTACATAATAAGATAAGAATATATGTTGCATTGCATAAACAATAACAAAGTATATGGCAATTGATATAATTGAATGATATAAATTTTTATATTATCAGTATATTTCAATTAAATTGTCAAACCTATATTATTATTCATTCCAATTGCAAAAGGGTAGAATACAAGGCTATATATGCATACCGTAGCACCAATTGGGCAAGTCTTGCCAGATCTCTTACAAGCCCAAAGACTTGTGCCTTGGCCATCAAGAACACCACCAATGACTGAAACTCCATTAACATCATCAAAAAGCAACCAATTTCCATCATTTCCAATAACATCATAATTGGAAGGTGCAACTAGTGCTCCATCAATGCGTATTGTGATGCCTTGATTCTTGCATGGCCCCTTAAACACTACATTACCAACTGAGAACCTTCCTAGTGGCACATAAATGGTACATGGTGTTGTTGAGCTACATGCTCTACCCCATGCTGTGAGGAATGCATTTGTGGAGTCAGTTTCTCCATCGGGTTTCGCCCCAAAATTGACAACATTGAAAGTTACTCCTACAACCGCGGTTGATCTATGTGTAAAGAGAAAGAATACAAAAGCATGCACAACAAAAAGTGCAAAATAGTTGTTAGTTAGCCTTAGTTGTGCCATTCTAGAAATCAATGGAATGATTAGATGATCAAAGAAGTGTAAGCTCAAGAAAGAAAGATACAAAAAGGCTTGAAGAAGAAATGGGGTTGTGGTGGTTTGGATGTTAGTTTGTAGGGATATTTATAGATAGGAAATTGGATTGAAATTAAAAAAAAAAAAAACATATGGGTATATGGGGAAAAACATTTTTTGAATCAGCAAATAGGGAAACATAAATATAATTTATCAACTAGAAAGGAAAATCATGCTTGTGTCTACTAGTAATTGAAACATGCAAGAATGGATAGTGATGTGGTATAAAAGAAAAGACAAACTACTAGTACGTGTGTGGTTGCTTGAAACGACCGAAAGCTCTCAAAGATGTGAACTTTAGTGCTTGAGTTTGCAACTTGGGAACATAGTTAGCAATATATGAAGAGAAAATGTTGTTTGTATAGTTAAAAGGAGATATTTTTAAGTGTAGTTTTTGTAGTATGTATATACATATATTTAGATGTGTTTTTATAGAAAAGGTAAAGCAAAATAAATATTTTATTAGAAAACATAATTATTAATTCTTTAAACAATATCTTTATTAGCAAGATCATTAGATAAAAAATAAAAAAATAAATGATATATACATGATATACCATGATCAATTTTTAATAATTCAAATAATTTAATTATAATTATATATATGAAGCCTCCATCATGTTCTTGTTTTCTGGCTTAATGCTACGTAAATTGCCAACCGGGTTCTCTTGCTTTAGGCGCAAGATAGATGCCTCCCCATTCCCATCTCATTCATCCATTTTCATCTGAAATATTTTATTTTGATGGTCAGCCAAATTAAGCACAACAATCAAAAGTATGAGTTACATAAATATATAAATTTATAATCGTGTGTATACAAAATAAAATATGGCTATATTATTATTTATTCATGTGCATGACATCTACTATTACACAAAGAGGTTCATCTTTTAAAATAATTGTTTCTAACTTATTTAAAAATTAAAAAACTAAATAAAAATAAAAAATATTAATTATATCTGTCAGTTAGTTGTAAGAATTGAAAAATGATTGTTTGACATATCTGCTGCAAGATGCAATTGCAGTAGTATTTATTACATTATGCAAGGGGTTGATGCCCCTCTGGTTCTTAAAGTTTTTTGCAATGAGAAAGAGGTTGGTGCAGAAAAATGGGGTGTATTTTTTTTTAACAAAAATATATTTTTGTAATGCTTAAATTAACCCTAGAAGTTTAGGCTAACAATTTTTTTTAGTCTTCCAAATTAGTGTCCTAATGAAATTAGTTAAAAAATCAATAATGTGTTGAAAATTATCAAAGTCATGTGTACATTTATGTTTTTTTTCAAGTTTTTGATAAATTTAAATATTCATTAAATAGAAAATATTTATTAAAATAAATACATATATTGAAGTTATAAAAGTATAATAAATAGATTTTTTTAATTAAATTTTACTATTATTAGTTCTTTATCTCTCCTCTAATAAAATTCTTTTAATTTAATGTATTACGTTTTTTATTTCTTAACTAGTTAGGGTATTAAATTAAATTTTTATTTATTTATTTATTTATTGAGATGTGTCTCTGTTTCAAGCAAATACTACGTAATTCAAAAGAATTGCTTTCCAAATTTTTTTAAAGAGTAATACTGAATTATCTCTTAGTTAAGAAATTATAAAGTAAATTCTAATATATTGGTATTAATAATAACAAATACATCTACTTACACTACTTTATTATTATTATTATTATTATTATTATTATTATTATTATTATTATTAAAACTTTTCTTAACATTTATTCGAAAGATTCACGAGCTTCTCGCAAATTGTGATTCTTAGCTTTCACCTATCAAACCAAATATTTACCACTGAGACCCAGCAACCACCACCGTAGAGTAACCATGCACCAGCAAACGTAAAGGGATTGTGAAAAAATGAAGAAAATAAAAAAAATTTATGAGTTAGAATCCATGAAATTATGAACGAAATTAAAGCATAGAGGAGGGATGAGAGAATGTCTTTTCCTTAGAGTTTGCAAGTTATTTTTTTTAGTTTTCATAATGTGTCATTTTTAGTCAGTTGTGTCTAAAATGAATATGTTGGGTGTGTCCACATTAGAAATATATGAAAGAAAAAAAATTTAGAGAAGAACCACATGCTTTGGGTATTTTTTAAAAAATAATTTAGCTTTGTGCCCATATTTTTTAAAAATTAATAACAAATTTTTATATCACAAAATGAGTATAATTTAGTTTTAAAATTCTAAGAGTAAGATATGAAATTAGTTTAGATAAAATAAAAGAAACTGATATATGAGATACTTTAATTTCTAAAAATACTTAGTCATCTTTCTTTAGTTTGCTAGGTGAATAGTAACTGAATAATGTGAAATGAGATCCATGATCAATTATTTTTTTTTTCATGAAAAGATGACAAATTATTTCCTTTTCAAATCCAAACGCCTTATTTGTTGGCTCCTCAACATGACATTTGGTGGACAAAATAATGTGACAAATCACATCAACATCGTGGAGGGATGTGAAATTTGTGAGAAAAACAGATATAAAAGAAAATACAAATAGACTAAAAAAGAAAAAAAATGAGAAGAAAATCATGGTTGAAGTAAAATATTATTTGGGGAGAGCAACGACAATTAAGTCATATTTCATCATTTTATATTGGAATCCAAACAATAGAACATAATATGACACCACCTTGTTTTAAAAAATTAACCAATCCAAACTTTCTTTCTTTATAATCTTCAAGCAAACAAGGATAAATCTAAGCTGACTTTGGAATCAAATTAACTTCTCTTTTCCTTCTTCTAACTTGACTGGAAAAAAATAATAAAACTTTCCTTTTCATTTTGAAACTTGAGAAACAGACAAACCCTACACACATTCATTATCAATTGATTCATCTTAGTTTTCCAGGACTTGCATGAACCAAACAGTGGAAAACCAAAGAACAAAGCATCTGTGCAATCAAAATCTCACTCTACATAGGATCCATCGATCAAACAAGTCCAACGAAACACCTATTGAATTGAAAGGCAAAAGACAAAAACATTTAATTGAAGGTTATATTGTCTTTATTTTCAAGCGTGAATATATGAAATTAACATGCGGAACGAAAGTACAAAATAAGGGAATTGAAATAGTGTCAACCATTCATGCATGCAAGAAAAACACACGGAAGTGTTAACTTACATAACCTTTTACAGTATTCTTACATTGTTATATTAATACCGATACACACACATAAAAGTGAATTATATATACAGTAAGTAATGTGCAACAGTCCTATACTTCAGAATTTAATCTAACGTAATACTTTGCGTGTATGAATTAATGACCAACCAAGTGATTGACTATATGTCAGTATGAGAATGAAGCATAATAGAGATATCAAATCTATAACATACGTAAACCCACAACTAGGTAATGCTATATAACAATCGAAGGAATAAGAAATAGCGGCAAAGGAAGGATGGCATGGACCGTAATCACTACGCCATTGATCTTCTACACCTGCGATATTATGTTAGACCATGAGATTAGGAGACCAGGATAGATAGAAGAAGAGAATAGCAAGAGGAAAGGCAGAGTAGAGAATATGAGCAGAAGGAGATTATACCAGAATCAACTCCCCCTTTCTAATGAATTCCTCCCACTTCTTATTTGGTTTCCTCTGCCTAGTGCTTCTCCTGATGCACTCAATATTCGGGTCTGCTACCACGTGTCCACCTCCTCTAACTAACTTTCCATTTTGCTCGCTTTCTCCCCCAGCACGTTTATTATCCTTTTTTGTGTCCACCTCAGCATCTTTATTGGCCTTCTTCTCTCTGCATGTAACAATACCCTCCCCTTTAAAAGGAACCTTGTCCTCAAGGTTAAGGTTTGGGTAAGTAGCTGCTATGTCTTGTACATCTTCCCAAGTTGCATCAGTGATAGCAGTGTTTTCCCAACGAATCAGCGCTTGAGGAATCTCAGTAGAGCCTTGAATAATGGTTCGAGTGTCCAGAACTTGTATAGGACTGAGAATCGGTCCGACTTCCGCAGTATGCAGCGGCAGTGGTATGTAAGGTGGGGAAGTCTCACCCTTGAATTTCTTGAGGAGAGACACATGAAAAACAGAATGTATTTTAGCTCCTTCTGGTAGTAGCAGCTTATAAGCAACCGAGCCAACCTTTTCCACAACTAGAAATGGCCCAAAATATCGTAACCCGAGCTTTTGGTTCTTGCGGAGTGCTACTGAGTGCTGCCTGTATGGTTGTAACTTAACTAATACCATGTCGCCGACCTGAAATCGGATGTCCCTCCTCTTCCTATCTGCCTGTTGCTTCATGTAATTTTGTGCTCTAGCCAGATTTAATTTCAATGTATCTAGTACTCTATCTCGTTGTTGAAGTAGTTCTTGGATGGTAGGAGAGTCGTTTGCTGCATTTTCGTATCGAATTAATGTTGGGGGGTCACGGCCGAATAAGGCTTTGTATGGCGCCATTCGAATGCTATGATGATATGAAGTGTTGTACCAAAATTGTGCCCAGGGTAAATGCTTGAACCAAGCTTTCGGTTTGTTAAAACAAAAGCAACGAAGGTACATCTCCACTGTCTTATTCAAGACCTCAGTTTGGCCATCGGTTTGGGGATGATAGGAAGAGCTCATAGCTAAGGTTGTGCCCTGCAATTTGAAAAGTTGCTGCCAAAAGGAACTGAGAAAGACCTTGTCCCTATCGGAGACAATCGATTTCGGAATGCCATGCAACTTGACAATGTTAGTTAAGAATGCCTCAGCTACCATTCTGCTATTATAATCTGCCTTCATAGGGATGAAGTGGCCAAATTTTGAAAGTCTATCAACCACTACCATAATCACCGAATAACCAAATGATGGTGGCAGCCCTGTGATAAAATCTAGTGATATATCATCCCAAACCTGATTTGGAATGGGAAGGGGTTGCAATAAGCCTGGGTATTGTGCAGCTT